TTGAATTTTTTAACTAAATTTCCAAGTATGTATATTTTTGTCATCAATTATGGAATCGTAATGCTTACGTTTTCCATCTAAGTTAGCCGTGCAATGAACACAAGTTCTTTTGATGATAATGATTTCATCATCTGTTGATTACATAACTTAAGACCTATCTAAAATCTGCGTAACATGATTGTCGAATAGGTGATAGGTTTTGAGACCATTTAACTTTTAGCATCCAATTCATATGCATTCACATTCTGATAACCTAAACAGCATTTCCTTTCATTCCGAAATTAGTATATACTGTGCAGTAAGAAATATCGGATACTTCTTCAAAAATGAAATTATATGCCTTACATTCAACGTTTATTTACCAGTAAATTTCACAGCCAAGTGTTTTATTGAGCTGTTCGTGCGCAAAACCAAACGTCCAGCATTAAAATTCTGAGCGTAGTAGGAGTCGTTGATGCTCATAGGTAGTGAGTTTCATTTCAAGACGATTAACTACTGTCTAGTGCTTCGAAGTTTCTATGGCTGGACTAACAGTGATTTATTCATGATTAATTTAATTTAGGATGATTTACGCCAAGTTACCTTTTTCATCTGACTCTGCGAGTTTCAAACAGTTTGATTTGCTATGTCTTAATACCATATCTATTAATGAGAGAAAATGAATTAGGTTAAGAATTTTTAATGTTGACCATTTTACAAAAACTTAACGTCTTCAATTCGATGAACTATATTCATTATCACAATGAAAATTAACTTTTCTAAGCATTATCAATCGGTAAAGTTTTGATTTCTTTTGCACTAACACATTCAAGGTATCTACTTCGAAAGTATGCTAGTTGATAAAGAATTAGGTATCAATGAACCCATGGTCTGATATGTGGAGATACCCTCTCTTACCACAATGTCAACAAATGCTGACTGAAGCCATGTTCTTAGATCATGAATACGGTGATGTCAGTGGACGTAATTTCCGATGAACAAAATGTACGACATCTCTCACTGTTGGTCATATTTACATTAACTTTCCAGCTATAATAAATGCTTTATTTAATTTCTTATAGTGACATTTCTACTTCTTTCAGTTTATTCGCTAGTGTTCATTTACATTGTTGGTTTACAGGTTTCCAAAATAGTTTCTCTGTTTTCAGCATCAGTGCCTCATTATTTATTTGATTTTCATCAACCTGAACCAATAAACAATCAGTCACTCACGTTCTCAAACTCACCATTACTAACCTTTGTCATTCAACGACTTTTCAACAATATAATCGTGATTAAGTTTCATGAAAACGTGAGTGGATGATAATTCTTACTTAGATAATTTGGTTTTTGGCTTGCAAAACAGTGCACAGTCATACTCCATTTTTCGAGGTGTAGATCTAAATAGTATAAATGAATATGAACAACATCTAAGTAAATCTGACCGCTGAAGATCAAACGTCAGTGCCATGTATAGGAAAGAATGCATGCATTACCCTTAATGCATATTTACGTACATTTATCATAGTGATGTGTATACGATTGAAATTTTTACATAATGACCGTACAGTTCGAGGAAGCTAATAAGCGTTCTCTCAAATTATACAGTAGTTATAATTGACAAAGTACCTACCGTATCTATTTGTCACTTTCTGTAATACACTGTTAAATGCTGTTTTATTTCAAACAGAAAAAGATGAAATCAAAATGTTTAAAATTGCAACGATTTAATAAAACACTAAACAAAGGCACATTTCTAGCATGTATGGACACATCTTGTTTGACCGACTCACTGCATTATTATCTCATTGTGATTAATTGTGAAGTTAAATTTACCGACAGCCATAAATCCATGTCACTGGATTTTATCAAACCGGTATAATTTTCAATCAATAATAGCATCAAATAAAAGCTGGCGAATTTATTTTATTAACCTTGAACCAGATAATTTCGTTTTTCTCCCTCGAATCGTTTGCTTGTACAATTCATATCTAAAGTGAACAGTTTATTAAATACTCAAATAGTTTCTAAACATACATCCATCAGTATCTGTGTTCATTGTAGATTGAAATGAAAAGAAACACACAATGATTGTGAATTAATTAATTTGTAATTCTCAATTAAATCAATTTATTACTTAACAGAAAACAAAACGACCATGTAAAGAATACACCTATTCAGTTCATTCGAATGAGTGAAGTGGTCATTGACAGCTAGCATGTTCTAAATTATACTGAGTTTAAAGTGCTGATCGCTTAGAATTCATAGTATTCTTGCAATGAGTTGCAAATGGATGAAAGTGTTCATTACCATACGTTTATGTAAAATTGAATTGTTCATCATGTAAAAGTTGCTCAGCAGAATGTCTGCTGGTGAAATTCAGTGAAAGCATTATGACAAGGATTCGGCTACATAATATGGTTGTCCAAGCTTGTGGTACAAAAATTCAAAGTAGAGTAAGAGAAAGTAACTACGATTTTCAATTACCTTGTAAAACTTTTACTTTGTCCATACTGTTTCGCAGATTATTTATTGAATGCTGCAAATTTTCTATAAATTGTTCATGAAAACATTTTGTTGACAAATAACATTACTCAAATAAGGCGGTAAACTGAAGTCACAAAAATCACTCATCAGTTCTTCTCAAAATCACTTTGAACTACTGTCTATCAAACAATTTTCTCAACATGTAACAACTAGTTATGACATGAACATACTAAAAAGAGTTTTCAGTCACTCATAGATCAAATTTCTCTGCATGATCACAATTCACCAAATACACAATCTACAACAAAACTAGAATATTGGTGGATTATATTCACATGACGTTTGAGGATAATGATGTAACCATAAAGTTTAAGGCGGGTAATCAACATTTACAAAATGTGTCCAAAGCGATAACACCGTTGAAACAAAAATGTTAAAAGTAACGTAGCGATGTGTCATTGTATTGCGATAAAAACTAAATGAGTGAATGTTTATCTAGCTGGTGACGACATCGAATAGGGCAAAAATGAACAAGTGAAAAATGAAATTTCTCACCATTCAAACGTCAATAATGCAAAATCATTTTACATCATAGTATCATACAAAATGTAAATTACAAACTACACACTTTGGTTTTCTTCCAGTTCCTCCTTTAATAGTTTCATTGGCCCTATTTGTGCAAATTTTCAAAAGCTCATATATAATTATTGCGTAAAACACTGATGTATATTTATGGCATGTGTCCACTTCTATAGAGCTAATCGAAATAGTTGAATAGAATTATCCTTAACACTTAAATATGAAAATATAACAAATCCAAATACTAAACTGTATGTACGCCTACCACAAGCATATTCCTTTTATCCATGTCACAATACAACTGTTTCTTGATTATTCTAATCACAAATGATCTGGCTCATCTATCTTACACGTATCAACAAATGCAGCACTAGACGACCACTATAAAAGCGGCATCTGCAGCAGTAGGTCTCAGCATGCACAAGGAGTAAACCAGTTTCCTCGGTACAACACAACATGCAACAACACAATCCCACTCGATGGAGAAGCTTTGGTGGATGTGAAAATCTTAAAATCTATGGAGCATTATGGATGAGCAAGGTGAAGCTGATACGAGTGTGAAGTTGAGGATCGAAAAAGCGAACGCAACATTCCTATAATCCAATAACGTCTCAAATACAAAGCAACTGCCAAACAACACCAAAGTCATATTTTTTATTGCAAATGTACTAACAGTTCCACTACATGGAGCAGGAAATTGAAGAACAACAAAACTCATCATTCACAAGCTAAGTAGGTAAGTAAGTTCGCCTAAATACGTTCATTCTAGAGGCAAACGCTTAGTAAGTTACTGCACTAGACAATACAGTAATACAGTAAGACAGTTTATGCAATAAGTTGAATCAACGGCAAACAGTAACCTGAATTCTTATATTACCGAACTACAAGTAAGCACAGTTAAATATTTTAACACTTACCATTTTGTATAGATGCTTGAACAAACAACAGAACGAGGTAGATGTGAAAGCGAAATGAATTAGACATGTTCATCGAACTAATTCACTGTCTTCCTGTGTATTTATAGGACCGAAAATTATATTGACCAGTTGAGTCAGATTCAGCAGTTTTGTGTAAAACATCAATCAAAGTAAGTAAATATGTAAGAATCTTTTCTATGATTAGATTTATTTGACAGACAAATAGTTGATGAAAGAAATGTCTCAATGTATTATTACCATCTACTATTTTATTTAATCGACATTGTCACATCTGAACTCATTTCGGTTATTCTAGTGTTAAGTACAACTCAGTACAACTCATCTACATATATTTTGTGATTAAATTTTTTTGTCAACTAAATTCAAATTGCAGAGAACGCATTCTTGGTTGTGAATCATATATGTATTGGGTAAATGACAGCTGATAGAAACTGATCTTAAAATTCACTAACACATTCTTTCAGAATTACTGCATCTAAAATCCAATGAGTGACGCCCTCGAAAACCTAATCCACAATCATCGATGCAAATAGAACAAAATTGTATGTAACCAACACTTTAGAAAAGATGGTTTCGAGAAAACAGTAATTCATTCGCGCAGAATATTCTGCCATTCTATTTTAAGCAAATTAATTAACTTGTTTTGATTGCTTTCATTATTGATCTGACCTTATCCTAACTGTATAGGATTCGTACATTATATGTTCCGAATGCATGACAAAAATTAATCTCATGTTCATGTGAACCACGGTTCAAATCCAGCTGCTTTTAGACGGAGTATTACTGTTCACTAGATTCCGCTTTATTTGGGTACACTAACTGAACGCTATTGACTGGTATATAATAATGTCTTTGTGTGCTGAGATCGGTTTGTCGTGACCTGCACAAGATTGATATCTAGTTGCGGAATATACGGGCGCTGGGTTGGTTGTATATACTGTACAAATTACCCCGTTTGAGCTTTAGCTCTACTAACTGTGTACACACTTGGGATTGGTGAGTGTATCAAGTTAACGCATGTCAGATGAAGAGGTAGCTCGTGTTACTCCAGACTTGACAGGTTTGTTATCAACTTCAGTACCACCTCCGGGATTTTCAATTGACGGTTCCACGACTTCAGTGAGTGATTTGACAATAGCCACTCCAGGTTCCAGTTCCATTAACTGCAAATCGCTGAACGTTGGTTATCCTCCTCACTGGCCTGCTACACTCCCTGATCTCAATCTGTCTGTTTTCCAAGATGACACCACTCAGCCCCCTGATGCACTCTGTCTAACCGATGATGATGCACTTGATATAGCTGCTAATTGTGCAAGCTCTACGGGTGTATGCTTAGATATGCAAGATAAAGAAGAACATTGATGATTGTGGCTTTGATTTACCTCACCGCTTTCACAATCTCTCCATAATCGGTTCTTCTCGAGCTAACCAGATTTAGGCTGTTGGTGCAGAGCGTCGGATAAGTACAACACCTGGAAGTGATACTGCCGAGGTAAGCAATTGCAGTTCCGGGCTGCTTTCTTGTTTTGGAGACTCACATTGTAGTGTCGGTTCAGGTTAGTTCAGTGTCAGTGGAGTAAATTAAAATAGTGGAGAAGCCCATTCGTTTGTGGTTAGTAGAATCACTGCGGATATAATTTCTTTACATGAACAGCTTGAGCATCTTACTGCTTCTAATGGAGCAGCCGTTCCTGGAACGTTAGAGAACCAACAATCTCAAGAAAACTCTAATATGGCGCCTTTTGATTTGTTATGTATCTGGGAACCTCGTCAAAACAAATCACATCCCGTTTGGTTACTTGATCCTTCACAGGATTCAGTTACAGCAGGTACAACTGCAGGTTTCCCTAAGTCATGTCTCGTATCGTCGAAAAATGAGAATAGGTCCGATCAGGAATTGTGTTCAGAGCGGTGTAGTAACTGCAAAGCCCTATGGCCGTGTCTGTGTTTACTAGTGCTGATTGGAAGATCAGCTCCTTTTCTTGTTCAGTTGGCATTCTTCCGGATTCCTTTACCCGTGTCTCCGTAACAGACTGCATCTTTACTTTGACTAGTTGAGGCAGAGGCATCAATCAAACATCAATCAAATTACGTAGATATACAAGAATTTCTCTCATTATTAGACGTAATTGACGGAATAATAGTTGATAGAAAAAATGTCACAATGCATCATTTATATCTACAATTTTATTTAATCGACACTGTCACACATGAACTCACTACTGTTATTCTTGTGTTAATCTACTTCAAAAAATCGCATTACAATTCATCTACATATTTTATGACTGGTTGTTTCAGTGAAAATAATTTCTGGATAAGCTGCACACTGACCCGATTAATTATGTTTCCTAATTTTCTAGGTGTAGCGATTTGATGTCATTACAGTGGGAACAAATTCCACGGAGACTACCATTAAACTAGGAGTGTCGAAGTGATACTCTTGAAATTACTCACAGTAAATTTAATTAGTTTTCATAATACATCACGTGTTTATATGGTTTGCAACTGCAATCTCAGTCGTTATTTTTATAAATATTCACAAAATGCAGTATCAACGAAGTCGATGGAGGTTAGTGTTGACCGATATCCCGTGACAAAGTAAACAACTAATCTGAATTACGTTTTGGTATCAGTCACACTGAGTGAACGCCTAATCCTTTATTGATCCATCACCCCGCAGAATCCTGCAATTTTACCTGCCCCTTTAGTTCAGAAATCGGTGACCTACGTAATTATTTATATTTCATGCAGGTAGTGTTTGCGTATAGCATCGCGGACAGCATCCTCCATCAAATCATATAATGAAAAATTGGATTCTCATTTAAGCCGACTTGGGGCGGTTTTGAATAGGAGAGTCTGTAAATGATAGACTGATCATAAGCTGCATTCAATTTTCACTACTGTATTCTGCACTCTTTTACTGAAATTGCTGTGCATCACATACCGATTGTATTGCAAAAGGACACACTGATTTAAAAGTGCATGTTCAGAAAGAATGCAGTGATAAATGAAGGGATGCTATGTTATTTGACATTGTAACAAACACTTAAGTTAAAGAAAACTACACTCTACCGACCGCAAATATTTGAAGGAATGTTATTATTGATAATGACATTCGCTTTGATTTAGTACAGCAGTGTTCTACATTTGCAAAATTATGAGTGACGCATTCTTAAAAAAAGTGTTTGTAATCCTAATGCACTAATTGCATTTTCGCTTAAATCATGATTTCTTATCCAGTAAGCCTGTTCTCGACCATTTACGATAAAGTTCATTTATGCGTTTCATTCTTGATTTTCTAGACGAAGCTCTTCAAACCGTAATGCGTTTCGCAAATCCGAAGTATGTGATCGCTCATGAAACTACTCCATCCACCTAATAGGCTTCAGATCATACGACTACACTTCAATACCGAAAACTATAAGAAATGATGATTGGATACTCCACAGGCTCTCCTGATATTGAAGTGAATAATGACTGCCTTAGAAATAGTGAGACAATGGCGAACTTACATAGTGGATTCCAAGATTTAACGTGGATTCGTCCACCGAATACTCGTTTTTTGGTAGGTTGCAGAACATAGGCCTACATACTGACACTCGGTTACCATTATCCTATTTCGTAGTTTAAATTCAACATTTATCTCTGTAGATCAAAAGGTTGTGTAACAGTGTTTGTCGTTAATATACGTGCCAAAAATATAACCACACTATGCCGAATCTCTACTCAAACACTACTAACAGAGTTCGAGCTTATGGATATTCATTTTATAAAGCTCGCGTCGGTTTACATTTGATCGATCTATAATCTAGTTTAGAAAACCAAAATGACATATTTACGTTTGTCTACGGCTCACGACAACAAACGTACGTTACAGTAATTGCTCTTAGATTTAGGCATGTGAAATAAGTTACTCATAATTAATGAGTAATATTGAATTATACACGGAAATGTGTTGAAATATCAAAGAAAATAAGGAGAAAAGTAAACGATAATTACATAGGCCGTAATTCTGTTCTATCATTTGGACAATACTAAAAGACAATATGCACACTTGTATTTATGATCTGTCCGAGGTCGATGTTCGAAGCATTAATAAATGATGCAACTGAACTTTTCGCTTCACAAAATGAAACAATATGAAAAGATGTTATTATTGTCTTCAATGCGACCGAATTCATTTATTTTGTCTAACTGTTATACGTTGAATTCAGGAAGGAGGATACAAGCTGAACTACTCAGTTTGCACTCTTTTCTACTTACTAGTCGAATGAAGCAGTCACTTCTAATTAATGAAATTACAAGGAATGTTAGGTACGCTCACTTATCTTCCACATTCATTGCAGTTTTATGAGCTTTATCATACATATGTTTGCTAATTTTGTCCATTATTTCTAGAATAATAGATGATTGTTCATTAACCCTGTTGCTCATTTAGTCTGGTGAATGTATGCAGAATGCACAGAGGAAAATATATTAAAAATATTTAGAAGACGGATGTCATCATAATGAAGATCATCATCAATTTAACAGTTATTCAGACACATATTGAATCGGCTTGATTCTTGGAGATCTATAGATGACATTCAGAAAGTAGTGATAATTGCGTAATTATTTCATTCCTCATAATGATATCGTGAATAATTGAAAAATGATAAAATGATGATTGTACTCTTCAAATCAGAAACAATATATGAATCAATATTTTTCACTGTACTTTGATGATAAATCAGTGGTTGATAATGGAAAGAAAACTTAAACTAACTTGACAGGAATAAGAATCATTCATTTTATTAAATATTTCACATTGTGATTCATTTATATGTCACTGTTGAATATGGAGTGTGTACATGCAGTTTACATGTGGCAATTTATAAGTATCATTATTTTACTACAGATACGTTTATCATGTCGATGTTGTCAATTAGTTCACTCTCTGTGCATTTGACTATAGTTAGAAGTTATTAATACTAGTTACTATAATAATAATAATAATAATTTATTCTCAATTAACAAACACTTTACAAAAGACATGCTAATTTATAGGCAAGATCAAAATGTTAAGATTAGCAACATATTTCTTCTATAATGGTGTACAATTACTGAAATATTTCACGAGATTCATTGGATTCCTATAGATGGAATGTGCGATGCGAATGATTGGCGCGAGTTATGAAGGTTGCGTTACGACTATCATCTTATTGACTGCGAAACGAAGTATGGTAGAGCCAGGTTTGCATATAACAAGAATTGATGCGGCAAATGTGCAAAGGTCTGGTTGATATTCATCAGCTAATGATTTCACACGCACCTGGGTAGGGTAGCCAAATCTACGGCAAATATCCAGACTAATATATGAGGATTGGAATAAGGTTCTGAAAAAAGATAAATAAAGAGAACGGGACGAGGATAAGAACAGAAAATATTCTTGTTTAAAGCCGAACAACGACTTAGCACATACATTTTTGGATAAAACAGAGATATGTTTACTCAGACTTTTTTTATATCAGAACACTAACTGTACACCTGCACTTATTTAGATTAATGAAGACAATTCAGTAGTGAAATAACTAATGAGAAGTTAGTCGAATGAATAGAGGAAATTCAGAAGAACCATGCTGTTAGCAATAATGTTGATTTACAGAATATAATAATGAGGCACAGTATTATAAAACTTTTGTGGTATTTTATTTATTCTGTTTCTTTTTTTCTCTGTAGCTCAAGAAGTCATGAGTGAGCTTCTTCTAAGTATGGTCGTACAGACCAGCTTGTAATAGAACTTCTCGGTAGGAATTAAAAACCAGTGCAAGGTTACAGACATGAGTCGTAGACGAAGTTAACAAGGAAAAGTAATATCAATATCACTGATTTGTTACATCATGCTATACCGTAAGGAGCCGTAAGCAAACAAAATGTTCTGCCACACAGACATGGATAGATTGAGGTTATCGCCCCACTGTCATGAATGTTGGTCAGATACACCACTCTCCTTTTGTGATGTTAGGCTTTCTTATGTTTAATGGTTGATTGTAAATAATGGTTTCTAGTCTTCTCTCTATTTTTTTCTACACCTTATCGGAATGCACTTTCTCTACTAGCTCCATATTACGTCAGCTAACTTATTTTATCGTTCACCGTTTACGCTTATAAAGTGGTACGAATGTTGTGTAATCAAGATCAGTTCGACGTATTCCAGCCTTAGAATCAGGATTTATTGGAATCAGCTGACAACCATTTGAAGTAATAGAGAATGTTCACTTCAATTAACAACGTGAAAATAAACCATGGCTCTGTGTATGTTAATAGGCGTATGCACTTCATTTCGCAATGATGAGGGGAAAGTCGTTTCGCCAAATAATTTT